CGGCTCCCTCCTCTCCCCGGCTTCATATCACCCGCTCTTTTAAAAAAATACCCCTTTAAGGCACACGCGCCTCACCTTCCTCTCCTCCTCCTCCCGCCGCCTGAGGTAAACCCCGTCCCTCCTCGACCTCCTCACAAGCAGCGGTTTAACCGCCGCTTGCTCGCCCTCTCTCTTCCCACCCCCCTTCCACGGCGCACCCCAATCTGGGGGCCGTTCTTTCTCTTTCGCCTCCATTCGCTTCTCTTCCCTCCCCCTCCCCAACGTCCCTGATTAAAAAACCCTCCCTTCCCTGCCCCACATCCTAGCCCGATTGCGGCCCCTCAGGCCCCCCCAATAGGTCGCCCCTCCAAGTCATATAACCTGCTTAATCTCTCTTTCCAACCTCCCCCTCCCCACTTCCCAGCCCCATAGTGTTGCTGACGTCCCCCCCAACCTCCTCCCCATTGATCCCCTCCTCTCTTCCTGCCTCCTCATTTCTAGGGGAGTGGAGGCATCCAGATTCCGCTCAAGCCAAGTGGTGAAACAGAATCCTAAGCCCCCCCCTTTTAAAGTCAGGCTCCCCACTTCGTTTCCCCCACGCCAGAAGTGGTGGAGGCGTCGTTGCTTCTGCACTTCTCCTATTTTCCTCACCGCAAAGCAGAAGTGAAAATTGCACCGAAGTTCTGCAAAATCTCTTCCTGAGTGGGGCACTCAGGTCAGTCCCTGATTTTGGAAACTACTGGTCTCGACTCCTCTCCTGGCAGGAGCTCTTGGGCATTATGGCTCTCGCCCGTCGCCTGATCACTTACCTGCAGGATCCAGAGAAAGTGGCTCGTTTCCAGCAGCTGTGCGGTGTGGAAGTCTCCCCGGACTGGAAAGGATCTGCCGCCTTGGCTAGGATGGAGGAGTCGCAGGCCCAGCTGGCCAACGGGAGCTGCCCGGCAGCCCAAACGGAGGGCGAAGGGGCCGATCGACACCGGTGCCCCAGCACCTTAAAGGGGGACGAGCAGGGCAACGGTTGGAACATGAATGGCATGAAGAATGGGTTGCTCTCTGGGGAAGCCTGTGGGGGGGAATCCCAGCAAGAGGCCCAGAAGAAAGAAAAGAGGCAGAATTGGGCTGCCAAAAGACAGCCTCGTCGCAACTCTCTGACAGGAGAAACTATCTGTCAGGAGTTCTCCATCCGCAGCCCCCTCCTTTATTACCTGTTCAGCTTCGGCACAGAACTGGGCAATGAACTCTTTTATATCCTCTTTTTCCCCTTCTGCATCTGGAATCTGAATGCTTGGCTGGGCAGGAGGCTCATCATCATTTGGGTTTGGGTCATGTACCTGGGCCAGTGTACCAAGGATGTTATCCGTTGGCCAAGGCCTGCGTCCCCACCGGTGGTCAAGCTGGAGATTTTCTATAACTCTGAATACAGCATGCCCTCTACCCATGCTATGTCAGGCACAGCCATTCCCATGGCACTAGTTTTGTTCAGTTATGGACAGTGGCAGGTAAGGTCGTTGCTTTTTTCTTGATATGATTATTAAAATTATTATTTATCTGATATATTTTATTTCTATCCTTTCTATCATTTCTGTGTTTTTTGAACATGCATGAACATTGGGGGAGAGGGGATATCTGTCTGTCATTAGTGTTCTTTAAATTTCTCTGTTCTGATTGTGATTTCGTTTGTACAGTGTGAGCATCTAATCTCTGGCACAGGTTAAGTTTTATGAGAGTTAGTCTGAAAACCAGGTGATGAATAGGGTACCCAAGGATTTGAAAATAAAACTGTACATATGAAATTGTTATCTATCCCCCTTGTTGGAAGTTTGAGGAATTCCCACAGTAATTAGGCATTTAATAATATAGCCCTATATTCTTATTGTATTCAAGTGGAGCTTCGCACCTCTGTGAGTTTTGTAGCTTATACTTCCAATTAAAGTGTGTATGTTTTCACACATTGCATATACAGTTTTGGCTATGATCCAGCTCAATCTGTATCCAGTTCAACAAATGCAATAGTTGGTGGTCCTAGATGAGATGATTACTATTTGTATCTCCATCAAAAGATAAAACTAAACAGTTCAGTAATGTCTGGATAAGCATCTTTAGGTAGATGTGATGATACCAGTCCACATACAGACTTAACATCATCTGTACAATCAGAAGCCTGTTTTTGTGTATGGATTTCCCTAGAATTTATTATATCACATTTCACTCCATTTTCTTGTTCCTTTTCATGCTGTGGTTCCATAAAATAATTGCATGTCTTCTGTAATCATCTGCTGGTGGTGGTCTACTCAGGAATGTGCCAGCTGGAGGTCATGGATAGGAATTAGGTCACTTTTACATTACTGTTGCAGAACTTAAAGATTCTTGTTTTTGCTGCAATAGACTAAAGTGGCCTCTACCCCCACGCTGCAAATTAATACTGTATTTATAGTCTTGGACTTCTATAGTCTTCTTCTGTGAAACCCTTACTATTTTTTTCCAACTCATTTCCCTTCATTTTAGATCGATTGACTTTTCCTGTACAATATCTCCTGGTAACCTAATCTTAATAAATTTGATGCATTTATATATTGCTGACTTAGTGCAATGTACTACTCTCAGCGGTTTATAACAAGCCAAGAAACAATAATGTATCAACCCACTAAATCAACAATATACTTTCAGACATAAAACATACACAATAATTAAAAAGAAACCCCCAGATGATAACAGGATCAGAGAACATAGCTTACTATTAATTTCAGTGTATCTGAACACTTCTTCACAATCTTACCATCATTGCCCATATCCTGTTATTAAAGACAATATGAAAAGTTGGCCACCAACAGCTGAATATAATGAAAATATATTGTAAAGATCAATTCTTCAGAATGTAGGTATGGCTGCATTAGCAACAGGAAGCAATCTAGTCTGAGTCACTTTGCAACTGTGGGACTTGATTAGGTAATTCCTTCCATCCACATAGAAATTGCTCTTTCAACCTTTGTGGTTGTGATCTAGCCCAGTGGTTCTCAAACTTGGACTCCTAGATGTTCTTGGACTGTAGCTCCCAGAAATCCTGGCCAGTATAGCCAGTGGTGAAAGCTTCTGGGAAATGCTATCCAAGAACATCTGGGGACCTCAGTTTGAGAACCACTCTAGCCAACCACATGTTGACATTAGATGGATCTGTTTGCTTACAATGTGCTCCTCTCCTTCTCACTCCCCGCCTCCTGCCTTCTCTTTTGCATTATCCATCAGCCATAATTTCTGTTTGCTTACAGGTAAGTATTGATGCTGGGATTTTGTGCATACAAAAGAGAAATACAGAGTACCAAAGTCACCTTCTTTTTATTTATTTATTTTTTGGTAAATGGCATAGCACTTAAGTGAAGAAGTGCAATAGTGGAAAAGTACTATTTAAATAAAAAATTAAATTAAAACATTATGTTGTTCCAACTAGGACAGAGGGTGCCATTCACAGACACAGACAAACAAAACCCTCCTCTACACATTGCTACTAGTGTGTAGAAACAACATTCTCCTCCAACCCTGCACTGGAGTAGTCTAGGCAATGGGACAGCAAGAAAACTAAGTTCATTTGGACAAGCCCTAATCATTCTAAATCAGGGGTCTTCAAACTACGCCCCCCAGGCCACATCTGGCCCACCTTGCCTTTTTATCTAGCCCAGGCATAGGACTATAATGGAAGGGGGACCCAAGCAATCCCCCACCCCTGCTGTCTTTGCAACAGCGGGGTGGGGGAATCGCTTGGGTCCGCCCTCTCCCACAGCAGGGGTGGGACATCACTTCTGTCAAGCTTTGCTCCTCTTCCTATCTCTGCCTGGGCATAGGAAGAGGAGGGAAGGGTGACCCAAGCGACCCAAAGGTGCCCCTTCCCTCCTTTTTCTATGCCCACATGGGGATAGGAAGAGGAATTAAGCCTGATCTAAGTGATTCCCCCACTCCAGCTGTCTTTGCCCTCATACTGAAAAGTTTGGACACCGCTGTTCTAAATAAACAGGTGCCAACCCTAGACCAACATAGGATAGGTTGTTTCCCATTGGGAACACTCTAACAAGAAACATCATGTAAGCTGCAGAATAAACTCCTGTGTAGCCAAGTCTCTGTGTTTGTTGACAAAAGTTAAAAGCATTTGTCTATCCATTCTGCTATCTGTGTAGCAGGCCCATTTGTAATCTTTTGGGTTAATTAATTTTTAATGCCAGTTACAGTATGGTGCTTCTGCTTAAAATGTATGAAATAATCTGAGATGTTGTATTTGTTGTCTAGAATAAGGAGGATTTGAATTGGAGAGAAGAAGTTTTGATTATGTCTCTTACACACTTTAAAGTTACCCGGACTGAAATATTGAGTTAAGGTGGACTTGAGGGCATTAAGATCTCTTACAGTGTGCCATCCCCTTAGTTATAATTTTATCTTCTTTGCCAGATGAAATTATGTGTAAGAGGGCTGCTGAAATACATCTGTATTAGTCTGTGATAATATAATCAGTGGAATCCTACCCAGCTGTGTTTTCAGTGAATGTTGAGTGCTACCTACAGATTTCAAGCTATGCTAGAAAAGGGGTAAATGAGAGTAACTAAACTACTGTGAAGGACTGGTGGAGAAGCTGTGGTTTAAAAGGAATTGAGGCCCATAGCCTCAACTGATGAATTTTTGAATGAGATAAGACGGAAAATGACAAACCAATAAGGATGGTATAGGTAATATAACATTTTTCAAATATTTGAAAGGCTGTCATACAGAGGAGGGGCAAGATCTATTCTCAGTCATCCCATAGCGCCGGACAGGCAACAATGGTTTCAAGTTAAAGGAAGCCAGATTTCAGTTGAATCTCAGGAACAACTTCCTAACTGTTAGAGCAGTACGGCAGTGGAACCAGTTACCTTGCTGAATGCTCCAACACGAGGCATTCAAGAAAAACTTGGATAATCACCTAGCAGATATGCTTTGATTGTATTCCTGCATTGAGCAGGAGGTTGGACTTGATGGCCTTGTAGGCCCCTTCCAACTTCACTTTTCTATGATTCTATGATCTTTCTGTCACTGATATCAGTCTTTGTGTCCAAATACTGTACAGTACTGTTCTTGTTTCTTTTTGTAACATTAGTTTTCTAATTTTGTCTCTAGAAAACAATGTAGTATTTTGTGTCAAATATAGTTTATTTTAATTTTAAAAGTTTTGATGTGTATTAGTATCTGGAGATAGGAGAATCAGAGGGTTCATCCTAAATTACATTCAGCTGTAGATAGCCTTTGACCTGGTTATACACTGATTTAGAATTCTCCAGATATATCCTTTCAGATTATTTAGATTATTACATGTTTACACTACAGGTCAAATAAATAATACATGTGTTTCTGTTGTGGACATTTAGTACAGTAAAGTTTAAAACACTTGGACTTTACTCTTGCTGTGCAGTTTTTTTTAAATCTGACCTTGGGTTTAAAGCATTTGAGATGAATTGTTTCCTTATAAATAGTCCTGAAATCATTGTTCTGTTGGCACTAATTCAGTGTAGAAAGAAGAGCAGTTCTTTTTTGCAAATTCATCCCATCAAGATATAAACCATAAATTTGCAAGAGGATGTAATAAAAAACAAAAGAGGGAGTTTCCCAAACACTGAGAGGTTTACTGGGTGGAAACAGAAACTCTTACAGATTTGAAGAAGGAGGAAATACACTTCAATCATGGGCCCAATGAAAACATTTATAATTAGAGTCTTTTCCCCTGAGCTTTCATATTCAAGACACTGTGAGTGCTGCCAAGCAACAACATACTGGTTAAGTATTTCAGTTTCTACAGACTGTGATACTGATTTCACATATACCTGAGTTAAAAAAAATAAATACCAGTAATTAAGACTGTGGTCCTGTGATGATATTCATCAGACTAAGTCTCATTGGATATAATATGGCTTACATTTGAATATACACACATAAAATTGTGCTGTACATTCAGTTTTAAGCTTTTTTTTGCTGGCCTGTAGCTGTTTTTCACTTGTTTATCCAGTATATGTATGCAGATTGCAACACACTTGTGCCTGAGTTACAAAATTCAAGTGTTGGCATATATAGATAGGGATCTGTAAGTAGAAAACTGGCATGGGGATGATTGTGACATGGATGTGAAAAATAGATATGTACAGTTGTATAATTGCCATAATAGAAATATTATCTTGAAGAGATGCTCAGTAATGTTTTGTTCTGTACTGCTACTACTAATGGGCCATTAAATCAGTTCTGACTAAATGTAACCCTCCCAAGGTTTGCTTAAATGCAGGCCCTCCTTCTGGTGGTGCTCTGAGAGCATTTAGGCTGCCCAAGGCCTCTCGATTTGCATGGTATGTGATCCCACCAGCAAACCATGTTATCTTTACAATAACCCTATGAGGTTTTCAGGCTAAGAGAGCATTCCTGGCCCAATGTCATTCAGTGAGTTTCATGGCTTTAAGTTAAGAGTTTAAAGAAGTGACTGAAGAGGAAGAAAAGA